GAAAAGTAAGTAGTAGTGTCACAGTTGTTATTATTGTTATTAATATATTGTTATTATTAATATGCACAAAGTGTTCTGAAAGAAAAATAGCATAACGTTTCCACGTTAAACACAGATTGACAAAGCTGTTTCATCGAAATCGGACACGAGACCTAAAAGTGTATGCGAGGATATGCTCGTAGGAAATTTTCTTGGTGAAAATCCGCCGCCTGTACCGCCGCCACCACTTAACTATTCTACATACACTACTCAAGTGTCAGGTATGACTTGTACAAATATCCCTATTGCTGATCTTATGAGTATGTTGTATAACATTACTTAAATTACAAGGTATACATTATATTTCTTGTGATAACAAATACATGATTTATTTGGTTTCATTGTACACTTGTCACGAAATAAAAGTTTTTCCAGCTGTTGCACGAGTAACTGAGCTATACGTTTTGTATGTTATTTTAAAATTTAATAATTTGTTAGGAATCAAAAGTAATATAGTATATGGACTAGGCTACATTTGTATTTTTCTGAATTGTCTTGTTAATATAATATAAAAATACGAAGTATAATATATACTTTGATAATTTTATATCTGTATGTTTCAGATGACAGTTTGTCAGATGACGATACCAAAACAACTGCTTTATCAACGTCGTGTATGCAAAAAGTTACGGCAACTGAAGAATCGTGCAATAGTGTTTCACGTAAATTGAAGACTGCTAAGAAAGTAGCTAGACAAGCACAGTTGAAGAGGTAAGATATAACATATGTACATTATATATGAATAAAAAGGGAACGAAATCAAGTAGACGAATTTTTAGAGAAAAATACTAGAAAATATTTTTATAAACGTGAATAAAATATATAAGTGTACGTGCTTGGAATTAATTTGAAAACACTGCTTGAATATATTTTAAAGATTGCGGATGGCTCAAGAAATACAAAGGAAATTGGAGGAAACTGAAGTAAAACAAAAGGAATTGGAGAGCCGGGGTGTAAGTGTCGAGAAAGCGCTACGTGGTGAAGGAGGTAACATAATATTCTTGGTTTATGTATATTTATAAGTTTCTCTAATTTTTTTAATATTTAATCTTTGCGCGTTATTACAGCTTGAAATACATATAATTCTGCTTATATTCGATTGCTATAATCATTCTATTTGATTTGTACAGATACCCAATCTTTTTTAAATTGTCTTTAATATAAAAAGTCAAGTAAAGAATAACTGATATATGTTAATTATTGTTAAATAACACGAGTGGGGAAGAATACAATCTAAGGTATTAAATAATCTTATTTAGATTCCTCCAATCGTGAAGAAGCTGATTTACTTAGAGAATGGTTTGATCTTATGAAGGAACGAACGGAATTACGTAGATATGAAAAGGAACTTCTGGTGCGTGCCCAAGAGGTTCAGTTGGAAGATCGTCATGAACGATTGCAACAAGAATTGCGCGAACGTTTAGCTGATGATGGTATTATTCTTAATATTCCAGCTTATTAATTCATAATACTTTATTATGATTAGAACATGTCGATTTAACATCAAAATGATAAGACCGCCAATGTATTTTTCGACCGAAGTGATAAATTCCCAATATATTAATAGTAACGGAAACTTTTTAAAGTGATTAAATTACAGTGTACGTAAATATGTACACCGCTATTTTGTAAATTGTAATATAATTTTACAGATGATAAGAAGACGAGTGATGATGTAAAAAAGGAAGGAGAAATTTTGACGGAAATGTTGGAGATAGTAGCAAAAAGAGATTCCTTAATCGCTCTATTGGAGGAAGAACGACAAAGGTGGTGTAAATCATCGTGTTTGACACCTATTAGTTCTGTACATACAAATGCATGTTATATCCGTATTTTTAGTAATTCCTCTCACAAATCGGAGTATTTATCTTACATTTGCAAATTGCTAATTATTTTACTTGTTTATATATTCTCAGTTCATATAGTGGAAATATTTATTAATTGTAATCAGGAATCATTGGTGTCTTTTAGTCTTTGAAATTTTCACGTTATTGTTAGATACTATGCGTGTGCTTTCTTCGATAATAGATATATCATATTCTAATCTGTACAACAAATAGATAACTAAATTTGTATTCTGCATAAACCTGAATGTTATTTAAAATGAATGCCTTCAGTATGTGTGTGAGAACGCGACATGGCAATTTGGTAGGTACAGTACTTCGGTTCTTACAAGAAAAGAACATGTCTCGTGCCTGTAGCTAAATTTGTTAATTATTCTTCACAATTTCTCCTTTATTTTTTATCTAAATTACACGTTTATTGCAGCACGATTGCAAATCTTGAATTGTGTCTTTATTTCTTGTTTTCATCTTGTTATGCAATTATTCCGAGAAAATGAATACATCGCATGATAACTTTCAACGTATTGTTGATAAGAAAAGAGATCGTGAACTTGACATTGTGTACGGACAGTATGTGCATGATCAAATGTTATTTAAATTAGCATGGGACTTTACACTTGGTGCAAAATTTTTACAGTTGAATAGACGCGTTGACTTTTACGTGCCCCCAATTCTATTTATAACGAGCAAACGAATAATTAATGCAATGTCTTCGAAATGATCGAAATGTTCATTTGCTTCAAATATGTGGGGATCTGTAAAACGTACAGTTCTTTAATGGCAATGTGTGTGCAATTTTTTTATAAGCAATGTTAACGTGGTCGCGTAGCTGTTTAATATTTTTTATTTGGAAATATAATTTATCTTTGTTCTCGTAAACGCCAAGGATAAAAACTGCATGTATTGCTATTATCTACTATCATAGTTTACATAAACTTGCTTTTTAGATAATAATAATTTTTTAACAAGCAAACAAAAAGACTCGTATCATAACTACATGTAATCCTAAATGTAATCCTTTGACAGAAGCTAGATCGAACGTTGAAGTTTCTGAGAATGATAATGATTTGGAGCAAAAAAATTTACGCGAATACATTGTGAATCATTCCAGCAAGTAACATAATATTTTTCTAATTAATATAAACATATCTATTTCTCTTTTAGATATCAGAACGAAGACCGCGACCTCGAAGCTCAAATGCTGGCTAAAGGCCTCAGATTAACGCCAATTAAGAAATGTGGTCCTAAATATTCAGTCTAAGGGAGATACGCTTCTGTACATACATTCTCCGCAACAATTTTTTTATCACATGATAACACCAGAAGAAAGTTATACATATATATATAAGATTTGTAAATAGTTTAGGTGACAAAGGAATTTGAAAAAGGTAGGAGACTCGTATATGCCTAGATTTCTCTGCCCATTTTCAACATATTCAATATTTAATAAACATATCTTTTTTACAAATATAATTAAAATCTTTTATTTTTGACATAAAGATAAACAACGTAAAATCTGCTCTATGGACGTATAATTTAATTGCGTGAATGACATGCTGCATTGTGATTACATTAAAGTGCAGCGACTTGTAGCATAAAATAAGGTAGCGAATTAAGAAAGTGCGATACTTATTACTACGTAAATAAGTAACGAGATATTGTAACATTTCTTGCAAACCGAATCCAAACTGAAGTGAAATTGAGTTTGTCATTTTATTTTTAACAATTGACCAGATGCTGTTTTACGAATCTAGTGAGAAGATCATGCATTTGAACGTACTATGCGCAAGGTGTTTGAAAATCCAATGTATATAACTGTAGCTATATTGTAGTGCAACGAAATTAACCAAAGGACGCTCTTTAATCAGTTGTACTTGTCTCCAGTTGGGAGGCTGGAAGACTCTTACGGCTCTAATATATTTTGTAGGTGAAGAGTAAAGGAAAGTGTTCATACTTTATGTCAGTTATATGTATGTATATGTACACGACGCATAAATCTGTGTAAAATTTGGCTGCTGTTATTTTCGCATTACTATCATTTGAGACTGAAAATAAAAGGTATCTCTATTTCATTATTTAGCGACGTACGTACATACGCCTGTAATAAAAAAAAGGGGGAGGGGGGAAACGAAACGTGAAGCGGATCGTGCGAGATTCGCGATAGTAACGTGAGGGAAAGGTCGAACATGTGGGACCGCAGGTATCTACAGCCTCGGTCATAGACGTAGTTAGAGACCCTGTAATCAGAGACTGGCCATAAGAGAGTTCGTCAAATTCCCGCGAGTGAGAGAGAGAGAGAAACATAGGCCATCTCACTCTTCTACGATTCTACGATCACTCGCAGGAATTTGACAAACTTTTATGGCCAGTCTGGACGTAGAGACAGAGAAGATTTAAGAAGACTTCTTTCTCAGGTTTCTCTCTGTTACCGCGCAGGTACGATTCTCTTCTTTTACGATGGTGTAAGACGGAGAAAGAAAGTCTTCTTCAATCTCTCTCTCTTCACAAGCCTCGGCTTATTCAATGGGACGCTCAGGCCGGCATTCATAGTCCGATCTTCTGTTCAAGACCGTCTTGAATTTATCTAAAGGTGCTGTATGGAACATTTCATTGGCTACGGAGTATCTAAAGATGATCTTAAGACTTGGTCTTGAATATAAGATCTGACTGTGAATACCGGCCTCAGCCTACACAGGGTGTCCCTGAATGGTCTGTACAAACTTTTGAAACAAGTTCCAGGGGCCTAAACAAGCAGAAATGTCCCATGGGGAGAGTTGCTACGTCTGGTGCTGAGATAGTAGAAACAAGGGTATTTCAATAAATAAGCTTTGTAGCACCTATGCGATTTGACAATTTCTCCAGCCATTGTAGGGAACTTGGAAACGACGTAACTCCAGAAGCAAGCGTTTCCGACCCACGTTCACGGGACATTCCTGCTCGTTTAGGTCCCTGGAACTCATTCCAAAGGTTCGCACAGGCCGTTCAGGCCGCGCGGTTCTCGAGCGGTCTACGTCACATTTGAAATTCTCCCGCGCTCTGCTCCGATTGATCGAGACGCGTCGCGGCGAGGGGGCGTCCACCCTGAAGCCCGCCGCAAGCGGTGGTGTCAAACGACGCTCGCGCCGCGCCGGCCGCGCTCAGTCGATGCGCGCAGTTCGTGTTGCACGCGTGTACGGTGCGTGGCTACGTCGTACTTTTTCCACTCTTCCGCCGAGTCTCCCGCCCGCCTCACCGACGGTCGACCTCCCCTCCGGGCTGCCGGGCCGCCGCGTCGCCGAGAAGACCTGAGAAGACACCCGAGAAGAGGAGAGTCCGCCGAGTTGCACGCGCGCGCGTCGAGCGAGCACGACGCGTTTTTCCCCCCGCCGAGTGGCTTGCACACCGCAAGGGCAAATATCGCGAGAGTGCCGGTGGAGAGTGAGTCCGCGAGATGAGTACTCCGGTGAAGAAGGTGCCCATTCATCTGCAGGTGAGCGTGTCCCCCCCCCGCCGCCGCGCGGTCGTTACTTCTCCGGCGTCGCGGAGATGAGAACGGTCGTTATTTTTATCTGCGCGCGACGGCAGATATGGTGGATGAGGAATCATTATTCCTGGTGACGCGATAAAAATTGCGATAAACCGCCGCTCGATAGAGTCATCGGGAGATCTGCTCTTGCGCTCCGCACCCTCTGCCCCCTGGGATCTCGCCGCCCGATTCCCGGCTTTTCCACTTTGCTCGAAACAGCATGTAATCACGTTAACTCCGTTATTTATCCGAAAATGTACGCGGCTCGCTTTAGTAGACGACGACCGGTATTTTCTTGACCGCATCTGACGGTTTTTAACGATACGGAGGATTGCGAATTGCCACAGCCAGGGGGTTTGAACCTGAACCCCCCTGCACCCTGGGCGGGCGTCTCGCCAATTCGACCACCGAGACGCGTGTCGCTTCGATAAACGCACGCAGGTTCGTCGCGCGTAAAATTCTGGGTGCGAGGTCGCCGCGGAGCGATCGTTGAAACGGCGATGTTTCCAGCCGGCGGCGATATCGCGCATTCTTTGATCGGTACATCGGTCAATCGGCGACCCGGGTCTACGGTTGTAACCCGATGATATAATGAGATCTCTAATCGCCCCCCCCCCTCCCGATTGCGCGGCAGCTCTTGCGTTTATCTTATTAAGGTTATCGTTTGCGTATCGCGTAATGTGCATTTGATCGCGAACGCGACTACGAGAGATTAACACCTATGGTCTATTTTTCGTGTCGCGCGTTTGTATCTTGCTAGATAAGCGATAAGGTGTTGACACACTGACTCGGTATCGCCGGCGTGATTTATTCGCGACGCCGCGTCGTATCGGACATTTTTTCTTTTTTTTAAATCAATGAAGAACAGATATTCGCGGCGCTCGACGTGGAGATGATGACACGCGGTCGACGAGATTGCACGATTTGCATAAAAATACACTGCTATCTCCTTCAACGAGCTCCGATATGGATGACATTATTTGCGTTTTATTGATCCCGCACAGCGCCGAAGCTTTTCGAAACGTTTCATGAACATTGCAACGTTGCAGCAATGTTTTCTGAAATGTATGTTTCCGAAAGCTTGGGTGCTGCATGGGGTGTTCGGGCATTTGTCAAATCCCTCGGCTAAACGGGTCGGCTTATGGATACCGTAATGACTAATCAGTCTTGGCCGAGGGGAAAACCGCCGAGGGCATTGTGGTGTACAGATCTGTGGCATTTTTGGGCATTAGTTTGGGCATTGCTGGGCCATTAGTCCCAGTCTACAATAGAGATTTAAGCCCTAAGCCTTAAGAAATTGACTAATCACAGTCGCGCATTCTACTCATACTTGACCGTGATTGGCCAATTTCTTAAAGCTTAGGGCTTAAATCATCTATTGTAGACTGCACACAGAAAAATATATACTACCTGCAAGTGAATATTATTTGTTCCAAGTATTTGATAAGTTTATATATCCGCAAATCTATCATAATGTCGTTGCAAGTGTTATATTTACTCAAAACATACTCTGGTTCTTAGTAAGTCTAGTCTTCAAACAAGAATACGTAGAATTATTTGAAGCAAAACAATTTTGTTTCTTCTGATTTTATTAGAAGAAACATACGGAATTCTTCAACAAGTTTAATAATTTTCTTCAAAGAAGAATAAATTCTTTCTTTGAGTATAAGATGGCAAGCTTTTCTAAGACTAGTAACAAGCATATCTTAAAACTATTATTAAGAAAATATTCTTTGTTGAAGCAAACTATTACTTAAACGGAATAAAATTAACTGAGTGATTACTTTTCTTGACTGTACAATAATATTTTTCTGTGTGTGGGACTAACAAAGATAAAATAAGGTAATAAGATAAAGCGATGCCCACTGGACATTAGTGGGCATTGGTGTACAAGATGTTGGTCAGCGGTTTCCCCCTCGGTCTTGGCCTTCTAATCCTTGGCTCCAGACGTTAGTCAAATGTCTCACAGTCGGTCCGAACCCAGAAATTCCTTCCACTGAGATGCTCTTATTTGTAATTCACTTGACCCGTAACGAGGTACGCCAAAATTGACCATTCTACGATTCGCTACAAAGAATTTATATACTTCTCACGTGATTTATATACATACTTACTTTTAGATCGCACTTGATAAGGAACCAAAGGACGGAACGTTGTGAAAGCTATGTTGATAAATGGGGCCAGCTGAGGTCGACTGAAATCTGGAATTTTTATTATTAATGCTGGCATATTGAAGAGACTTTTTGCTACAATATGTTTGGAAGAGAGCGCATTCTTCCCTTATAGTCCACGGCTCCAATCGGCATCAATGCTTGCCGTACGAGGCGTGAAATCATTCCGGTTAGACACGTCTTGAGAAGAGCTGTAGCGAATTTTGTATTAATCGTTTTTATATACATTCAAATAATATTGCACAATGTAGGAAAATTGTTAAGTGACGCTAACTGGCAAATTCTAATGAAAGAAAGTTGTTGCGCGAAATATCACCTCGGCCAGGGCTTGAACCTGGACTTCCGTACACTCTAGCCGGGCGCCTCACCAATTCGATCCTCACCAATTACTGAGGCATGTTGTATAACTTGAGGCCGTATTGTACAGATTCGGAAATGAGGTCTCAGAAATATTGAAAATGCCGCGTGTGGAAATTACGAAATTACAGGAGAATGGCGCCTAGATTTTATTTGACATTAACGACACATAAATGCTATAATGAGTTTTTGATGATCATTGTTTATACAAAACTAATTCAGTGTCCAGTTTGTACAAATATTTAGTTGGCGCCATTTGACGACGTCGTTACTTTTGTAGAGAGGATAAAAAATATTTTTTTCCAACAAAATATATCCAAATGATTAAATTATATAATTCTTGATTGGCTGGCGCTTGTACTTGGCATCTTTTTTTTTAACTTTTATGTTGACACAAATGCTATATTGAGTTTTTAATGATCACTGTTTATACGATGTTTGGACACGTACGAAACGGGCGGGTTCGCGATGAACGTGCGGTAGAAAAATAAAGATCGCAGTGCCTTGTAATGTTCGCTTCTCAAATTTTACAATAGAACTATCGCGAGACACCGATTTCGAAAATGTAGGGCAACGTTTTGCGGAAGCTATACACCGTGTGCGTTTCTATGATGTGCCGACGTCAATGGGAACGATAAAAAGAGGCCTCGTTATTAAATAACACCTATAGACCTATATGGACGGCCTATTGTTAGGTCCGAGTCTATATTTCGAATTGTATTATTGTACGCACGGCGCATAAACTGTGACGCGCCTAACAAAGAAACGCGACTGTTTCTGTTACAGTTTCCGAATGCGCAGTTTTAGCATCTCGTCTTTAATTAGTATTTGCCAGTTAACACCAATTGAAAGTAGAGAGCTCTCATCCTCTTTCTCACCGATTCTGCAAACGGAACAATCGCCGTACCGTTAGATTCAAACGTGTTATCCCTCGAGCGCTAACTGTATTTAATTTAACAATCGCAACGTTGTTTATTTGGCCAAATCTGCGTCTTTCGACTCGAGATTTTCTGAAGTTCTACTGTAATTTCGAAGAACCTCTAGACCCGTTATCTCTTTATGCGATGTCGGTTGTTTTTTCTTCCATAATTGCCTGCAGATTCCATCTAGAGAAGACAAAAACTTGGAGCGTGCGATGTGCATCGGTAGCTCTCTCTCGACTGTACTACATTAGTGCAACGTACGTAGAGTCTGATGGGAAAAGCTTGAGCAGAAACGTAATTTTGGTAAATTCACGTCCGTCGAGAGTGAAAAATTTACAGTTGCGCTCAACTTGTCGAGATATTAGCTGAGGGATAATTGCATTAGAAACGGCGCTAATGATTTGTAATGCTAATATATGTATAGTAACATCGCATAACGGGAAATGTGTGTGCAAGAGGGAAAATCGTACGGCACTGGGACGCAAGCAGAAGTGACGCGGGGCCGGCGCTCCGCGAATCAATAGTTCGTCGACTCAACCCGTCGACCTAATGTCGGGGGAAACTAGCCGATATTACCTTTAGTATTTTGCGACGTCGACTTCCAAATGGAGCTGGCGTTATTCGGGCGCTTGAGGGATAACACGTTTGAATTCAAGCGCTAATCCGCATTAAAGTCGGTTAAGAAATACGACCTGTAGCCTATTCTGAACAGAACGTCCTGCGTTTGGACCACTGTGCGCGTCGTTTTCCAATCACTCGATGGAAAAAAACCTTTCTTTATCTTCACAATCTCCCACGGAACGGAGCGGAACGAGAGTACGGGATAAACAAAGGCGCGGCTCGCGACGACGCGTGAGATGACGCGATACACCCGCGAAAGATGTACAATTACCTAGAAGACGTGTTGTAATTAATGGATACTGACCTGGTTTTCCACTCCTCCTGTTGCGCTACGCGTTTATAATTCATTTCAACTCGAGAGAGAATACGTTATGTTTATTGTCGCTGATCCCACGCCGATTAATCACTAAATATAAAGCATCCGTTCTCATTGTAAGATTAGTTTCGCTGTTATTGTTTTTACCGAGCATTGTAAGGAACAACTTGGCGGCCTGCTAACAATAAGTTGCTGTAATCGTCGGGCAAGACAAGCTGAAAGACTTTGATCGCTCCATCGTTCAATTGATTAGGCAATAGTCCATTAACGTTGTAAATTATATTTTGTTTCGTTACTGTTTATAAGAGTTTATAATCAACTTGTAATTCAGTCTATAACTGGTATCTCACGTTTCAAGCGTTTAAAGGGTTTGTCGCTTGATTCCCAGCGCGTAACGTTCTGTTATTTTCCTGCCATTCACTAACATACGTGCTGTATACTGTCTGTGGTCCAAAACCCCTTTCTGAACATCAGGATTTGTAGCCTTTTTTGACTAGAACTCGAGTCGAAGTTTTGCTACTATTTTGACACTTTTAAGGCTAATTTACGTCTACATAGACCAGCGCTAACCTACCG